TTTTGAAAACATCTTACGATTTTCAAAAACAATTTCGGAAGCTATGTTACAAATCAATTCATAGCCCAAAATTAGATCCAATTTCCCAATTTAAACCAATTGGGCTCACTAGGTTTTTAAAGTTTCTAACCTCACCTAAATCATTTGGTTTTGCAAAGATGATCTTGAATGTAGCATTGTCAACTTCATCTACTTCACAATCAGCTTTGGTCTTCAACTTATAATCATCGTCACTATTGGACTTAGTTTAGGATTGTTACATTATGACTCAGAATATTAACTGACCTCAATGGCTAAAAAATCCTTCAAACTTTTCAAAATTTTTATCTCAAATTCTTCAGCCAAATATGCTTTCAACTTCACCATCTCCTTTGCATAATTACCAATAAGAATAGAGTCGTGAAATACACAATTAAGCGCAATTCCTTCCTGGGAGGAGAATGCTTAACTAAATAAAGTATGATCACCATAACTGATGATAACCATACCTCTATATAACTTGGGTAAACCTCTAAAACCTTACTCTTGGATACTGCTTCAAACCATATAGGCATGTAACGACCTCTTCAGTCTATACATGCTACTCTCCGATTAAAGCTCAATTCCTAGGGGAACATCCATATATACTTCCTTCTATAGGTTTCTAGTCAAGAACACTTTTTTCATGTCAAGTTGTTGAAGAGGCTAACGTAAGTTTATAGTCCAGGAAAGTAAAACAAAGAATTCTTCTTTGTCAGTTGTCACCACATTAAATGTCTCCTTATAATCAATTCCATTAGTGTAAGTGAATCCTTTCACCACCAATCGGGCCTTTACCTCTCAACTATGTCATTTACCCTATATTTTACTGTTAACGTCCATTTACATCCACCTAGCTTCTTCCCTTTATGTATGCCCCAAAAGTATTCTTTTAGAGTGCATTCATTCTTTCACTCATTGCTTCCTTCCACTTAGATTTATTAAATAAATCTTGTAAATTTTAAGGGACTAACGCAAAAGACAATTGGAATGCAAAAACACAAAAAGATGGTGAAAGATGATAAAAAGGACACACTTGTATATGGGATGCTGAGTGAAAGATTGAATGCAAAAAGCAATGGAAGAGAGATAGACGCAAGCGACGAAAGAGATAGTTTTATCCTTCTACATCCTCAAATAGACCCTCAATTTCTTTTGTGTTTTGCTTCTGCTCCTCAGCTCTCTCCAGCTCTTGTTCTAGTTGAATGAAGGCACAGATGAAGCAGACTGTTGAACAAATAAAACTTATCTTCACTAGATTCTTTTCGGCCGGAAAATATGGTACGGTTTCAAAAGAATATAACATCCATGAAAACAATTGTTTTTACCTGAAGGATGATGAAAATAGCTGTAACATATTTATGTTGGTGAGTAACCATTTGAAATGAATTTAGTAAAATTTGGATCTGACTTACTTCAGATAAGCAAACACAAAAATATGAGAGGAACTAAAAACTGGGTAGAAAAAGAAGATGAAGTAGCAGTTGGGCACAAAACCTCAATTGGTGCTTGAAAGTCCAAAACTGCAGAAGGCATTCTATTTATGAGATACACCACTTTGAGTATAAGATCTACCCAATAGAATTTAGGAACATTTATAGGGATTTTCAAGGTTATGGGAAGTTTTAACAGATGGCGATTCTTTCTCTATGGAACCCCATTCTTCTAAGTGGTATTACTATATGTGTTTTGGTGGATGGTACCATGTTCATCAAAATAGGAACAAAGACCACAATAAATCGACACACCTCCATTTTGTTACAACATATAATTTTTACTAGATGATGGAAACGATTAAACACAATTTTGTGAAATGTCAAAAAACAATAAAACACCTAATTTTTTTTCCTTCAACAGGTAAACTGAACCGGCATGAGAAATATCATCAATCGAAGTTACAAACTCTCTGAAACCATACGTCAGTATGAACAGTGACCAAGGGAGAACTTATATTGAAACTAGTAGGAAATGACACTCGCTTGTGTTTTACAAGTTCACTTGGTTCACAACCAATTTTAAAAAATTCAACCTAGACAACAAAGGAATAGATTCTAAAAAAAAATGAATTATATCCTAAAGCAACCAATTTTCTTCTTAGAAGTATCACAACTCTGTGACCTGAGAGCTTGTTTAGTGTGACCATCGTATGACTCATGAGAATTCGAAAAGCAAAGAACATCATCTCTTTTCATCACTGCCAATTACTGTCCTCGTGACAAGTTCACAAAAGATACAATATGAATGAAACAATGTCTTGCTAAATTTTTTTGTAATGTCTCTACTGAAGAGAAGATCATTTGAGACATTAGTGATAAAGTGGCTAGAATAGAACCTTCACTAAACTTAAAAATTGATTTATCAGTCATTTTGACTGTTTGTTTTCCTAGGAATGCAATGTAAGATGAGAACAAAGTAGTAAATCTAGTTAAATTATCACAGGCTTTTGAATCAATAATCAACTGGTTAAAAAAAAATAATGCAAGATGCACTCAAATATGTATTTAAGCTACCATTAATAAGATGACAAATATTCTCTAAGTCCTCCTTGGTAAGAGTCACTAATTCAGTTGCAAGTGACGAAATATTACCAATTGAAGAAGTCTAAACTATAGCAGTAAGACGAGCCTAAGCTTGTCCTCTTGCACCTGAGCACCCTTCTCTTTCCCAAAATTGAGGAAGACCTTGCAATTTCCAACAAGTCTCTCTACTTATGCCTTGGCTTTTTGCGTTACTCATAGTACAAATTGTCTTTATCATCAAAAGTAACATCACTTGCGCGACTCTTTTCAAGTGTTTGACCTCAAATTATTATCTCGAGAGGCAACAATAGTCAAGGTTGAACTCTCTTAAGGCTTAAAGTGAAGCATGATTACTTGCCTGACAAACATTGACCTCCTGGAGAGAAGTAAGAGGCTTATTTTCTAGGATTTGACTTTTAACGTAGTCAAATGCAAGGTTCAAGCCAATGAGGAATTAAGTAATCCTCTCTAGTTTAACCAGCTTTTGTAATTGTAATGCATATTTAGCATACATATTCTCAAATCGTTGATTGTAATCCAATTCTGCAGCAAACTCCAATTTCGTGTCCTAGAGTATGAAAGTAGGTCACAAAAGAAACTAGGTGAGACTCCAACATAGGTGACTATGATAACTAGGTGAAATAATTGTAGTCACAAAGCTTTAATGTTTTTGTTTGTAATGTAGGATTTCTTGTCTTAACCCCAACCTAAGTTACAACACACCTCTGACATCATTAATTAGGTTCCAAATGCCACTTCGCAATCGCATAACACCCTGAATGGCTCAAAGAGACCCAAAATAATAAGAAATGCAACTCCCATGTCAAAATTGTACCTAATAAAGCCTAAACTTCGTTGGAAAGTAGCAAGGAACAAAACATGTGAGAGCTGAACTCCAATTCTAAGCAAATAGTGACTGATGAGCATCTTAGAGCCATAGAACTTCGTATCTTTCATTGAAAGCCATTGGGCAATCCTTGGGTAGATCTAATCGGCATCCGCAACATCTATTCTAAGCAAACAATTGCATTAAAAATGACTAGGGTTGACTTTGTGAAAAAATACCCCCATTTTAGAAAAATTAAGAAGATAGAAGTAACGTATCAAATCAGCTTAAATCAAATCCAAAAAGTTATATATTGATTCAACTTATTTAGTCATTCATGGTTATATTTTTTATTTTGCTTTATTTTTTATTATTTTTTGTATCTTCGATAGTTATGCAAAGAACAAACACTTTCTATGCTATTCTTGCATATAAAGTCAAGAATGACCCAACCTTCCTATGATAACTAGTTGTATTTTTTGAACGAAAGAATTGAGTATAAAGAAAGATGGGCACATTACACTCTAACTCTCTTAACTATGGACTTGATTTTACCTTGCCCCTTGAATTATAGATTTTTTTACTTTATCCCCTCAACTACTTGAATTATTTCATATTACAGCAAATATAAATGCCCGCTATCTTTTTGGACAAAAATTGTCAGTTTGTCAGGGCAAAGTGAAAAAAATGACATTTCGTATGGCAAAATGAAATAAATTTTCTTCATATTTGTAACAGACGTTACTCATTGGGGCCATATGAAACTAATCTCATAATTGAAGATGCAATGTCAAAAACATGATAGTTGAGGGCTAATTTGGTTATTTCATAGTCATTCTCATTTATTTATTTTTATCTTCTCACTGGGCAATGTATCGTCAATCATGTATAATACCAGTAAATCTTATGTTGCTGTTTGAGATTCATCAAAGAGGACCTGCTGTTGTGGTGCAGTGGTGCAAAATGCCAATTGGATTTCTAGTGATTTGACACGTGTTTGGCTGAAACGGGTGTTGATGGTTAGTGAAATTATGTTTTTTTTTTGGTGATAAACTATGAATTACATCGGCATTGATGGTAGCTAAGTTGTGAAGATATGGGGACTGGGAGTTCTAATAGAGGGGGAGGCATGGAGGGAGAAAGATGCCATGGATGTTGCATGGCCGGTCAATGGTCTATTCATTTTGAGGAGAGGAATAAGAAGAAATTGTTTTTCGATGAATAAAAGAACAAGAAGACCAAATGAAAAGGGTAAACCTTGCAGCGTGTAAGATTTTTTTTTGGTTTTGGACAAGTTTCTAAGTAAAATTTTGCGGGAGGGTGGTTGACATATTCTCAACCAATTGTAGGGGACATTATCATTCCTCAACCCTTTTAAATTATTTGTAAGTTGAGTATAGTAATACAACTTTGTTCTCATGTTGAAGTTTCAACATATACTTGTAGCCTTGCACTTTTGTTCAATATGGGAATAGAGGCTAAAATGGGAAGTTCTGGCCTGTATTTGCACATGCCTCCCATTTATCTGCTCAAAACCTACGTGATTTGGACACTTCCATCAGTGAGTGCCTCATGTAGGGAATCATTTTTTTAAAAAAAGAAATATGATTAGCAGTTGATAAACCCGTCCCACTGTGATGCTATTGTCACAGACATTCAGCCTGCTTCGTCAGGGTCTTGGATGGTTCGCGGAGGGTTGTTATCTGCCGGCTTGGAAAGGCAGGAGTGTCCGGTCCAATATTCAAGTCATCGCGATCCCTACACTTGTCAGTAAAAGAGACCTTCCCATTTGCAGCACTTAACACCTGAGATGGCCTACAGCCATTATTTTTGTGATACATTTTGATTTCAATTACATTTGTCATAGTTATGTTCAAACAAGCTGCAAAACACGTGGAAATGTTGCATAGGAGTGAATATTTGCATCTGGGTTATGGCTAGAATTTTCGGAGCTGAGCAGCTTAAAAAGCTGGGAATGCATGAAAAAGATCGCTTTACTTTCTTTGTTTTTCCTTTGATAATGTCATTCATTTTGCTTTGTGATACTGCTACTATAGATACTCCACAAAATTTTCATTCTATTACTTGTCCTTAACAAATATGACAACCAAGCTTCACTTTCCTATCTTCCCGCTAATGCACTTATTTGCATTTGTTAGATTATTTGTCTGGGACTAGCATTGATGCCATATACTTTTGCCCATCAATTTCATACCTTGTAAATGGTAATGGTATAGTTGGAAAACCAGCCTTTGCTTGCTTTCTTTATCTAAGGAGGTATGCATGCTTTGTTTTGTTAAACCTCGTTTTTCTTAATTTTTAATTGCTTTTGGTAGGTTACTAAAGTGATGGCTAGAATGGCTTCAGCGGATATAATGTGTGTTGGTCCCAAGTCTGTAAGAGAAAAGTTCACAGGCATTATTAGGTATGTAATTTTGTTTGTATTTATTGGCTGAAGGTATGCATTTTTGACAAGTGGGTATACAGTAGAAATTCAAGTTGCTACGAAAAATTTGACTTGGCTGAGGATTTTTTATTGCGGCAATCAAATGATCAAATTTTGGAATGGAAGTTACTGCTTAATAAGCTAAGTGTTTTCTTATATTTTGAAAGTGCTATTTTTGTTCCAAGCCTTTGCTGTTGATTGCGTAATTGGGTATTGGGATTTTGTGCTTCCTTTGTGGATCGTGACTTTTTCGATGAAGCGGTATACCTTCTTGGATTAGGCTATTGTTCTTGAGTCCCTCTTTTATATATTCTATTTCCTAAAGATAAAAGTGCCCTATTTTCCGGAGAGAAGGGAAAAAAAGAATAGAAGAAACTTTGCTACTACTCCTTTATCCGAATGTTGATAATGGACCTTTTCCTTAAACTTAGTACTATATGATGTTATCACGAGATGAAAGAATTAATCAGAAGGAAGCCTCAAAATGCTGAGCCATCATGCATTGACAGGAGAAAACTTACTTTTATAGTTGTCAAAAGTTTTCTTTGTTGCCTTTAGCTAACATCTCTTTTTCTGCTGCTTGGGGAATTTAAGTGTCTGCCATGGTAGTTTTTGCATGCGATAATGTGTGCTTGTAGCTATTGCGAAGTTTTGGTCAAGTGAATATCAGTTTGCTTGTGGCTGTGTGGGTAATCAGCTTATAGTATATCAGTTCTGCATTATGCTGTATTCATGATATTCAAAGTCGAAGTTGGTTTCATATGGATATAAGTTATCTCAGTATTAATTGTTCGGCAAAATATATGTCTGGATTCTCAACTTGTTTATTCTAGCAGGCAACAAGATGTCAGAGCCACCGAGATCGACAAAGTAGATATGCATGCGTCATTTCGGCCGGGTGACACTGTTAGAGCTTTAGTAGTATCCTCCATGCATAAAGTTTCCCTGTGATAATTTGTTCCATTCTATTGACGTCATTGAGGCACTAATTGGCATGAATCTCCGAGTATCACCGGTGGCACAGGTGTCAATACTGTATGCAAATTTTTGCATGTCACTGCTCTTGATGGTAGTGGCATGTGCTTAGATTGTGCTTTGTTGTTTGACACTGTAGTTCACTTAAAAAACAATTGAAGAGAGTTTAATAAGTGCCATGANAGTGCTCTTGATGGTAGTGGCATGTGCTTAGATTGTGCTTTGTTGTTTGACACTGTAGTTCACTTAAAAACAATTGAAGGGAGTGTTTAATAAGTGCCATGATGAAATAAAACAAAATGCAATATGAAATTGCTTCAATCAAGTGAATTTGTTTAGTTCTGGTATAGATTTTCTTAAGAATAATTAGCCATTTCAAATAAAGTAATCTAAAAGTGGTACAAGCATACCAAGTGCCGATAAGTTAATATATGACTGAAGGTTTGAGAGAATCCCCATGTAACTTTACTTTTTTGTCTCACTCTTGTGCTGTTCGTTGGTCATTTTAGAATGGTCATCCTTTTATCCGATTAGCTTTTCTTGGATAAATTTCCTACCTAACACACTTCCTTTCCAAGCTCAGAGTAACAGTCATCCTATATCGTTTTCTCTTGGATTTTGATATTAGAGCTTGTCTTATATATTAGTTCTCTTTAATGCACTTCCTTGATTAGCTCTCCCTTGGCGATGCACGGGCATATTATCTATCAACTGCAAAAAATGAGTTGGGTGTTGTATCTGCAGAAAGTGCAGCAGGTATGAACTTCTTTTATCTATATTGGGGAAGATTGTTCAGGGGAGTTTCATGTTTCTTGATAGATTTTCCTTCGATGTTTCTTATATAAATTTAGAACTCTTGCCTGCGGTTGTCTTGATGTCTTTTGGGCCCCAAATGAATTTTGGTCTCCATGTTTTCTGCTATAACCTGTGGAAAACACCTGAAAATTATGAGAATGTTTTATGTTTAGAGTTGTTTTCATTGTGGAACAGAATCACAAGGAATTGCATGCAATACCTCTCATCAGGTATTTGTTGTAATGTACATTGCGAAGATTTGTTTGCTGTCTCCAAAGAAATTGATCATTATGCCTCCTAAATTTTGGAAGTTAGTAATAGTGAAGGCTCTGTATTGCAAAGCCAATTGTCGTCGTCATATTAGGGACTGGATTTTATTTCCGAATACATTTACCAAAAGAATTTATTTGCTAGGTTAAGCTGCCCTATTATTGCAGATTACCTAATGATGTTTACGCATGCTCAAATTGTGTGTGGCATATATTATGTTCTACATTATTCCTTCATATATTACTATATCTCAAGCAAGGTTTTTAAAATTGGGATCTTACTTTGGATCAATGGGGGAGGCTAAATGATTGAGATTGTATGATTGCATCGAGAATTGTAAGATCCTACAAACTTAAAAAATAAAAGGGCAGTCCAGTGTACAAGATTCTTGCCACTGTGAGCTCCAGGAAGGTCGGATGTATGTAGCCTTAAATCCCCCTAACTGTTTGTGCGATTCGAACACTTAACTTTCAGGCAAGGATCAAAATATCATTTCGAAAAGGTCAAAACGTCTGAAACGTTTCTGTTTCCAAGGAGACCGAAACAAATCAGTAATGAAATCAAAATTCTAATATTTCGAGATATTTCATAATGTTTCAAGATGTGTTATAATATTTCAATGTATTTGCACAATTATTTCGGAATGTTTTAAGGTATTTCAAGATACTTTGATATATTTAAATCAATGTTTTAGAAAAATAATTCTTAATTTTTTTTTTCATTATGTTTCCGAAACGGGTCGAAACGTTTTCGAAATATATCAAAACGTTTTCGTTTCCTAGATAATCGAAACAATACATCGAAACAAAATTTTGATCCTTGCTTTCAAGTCACAATGTAGCAACCTTACCGCTGTGCCAATACTCAATCCTACAAACTTGAAAAATGAGACAAAAAATATATGTAATAACAATTTTTAAAAATAAGAATTAAATATACCTGGTGTATGTGCAAACTAGCAATAACCCTGTACCTAAAGACACTATGCACTACCAAAAATTGAATATTGATTCTGCAATATTTATATTTTAAATAGCAATTATTTTTTTAATTACACAATTTAAAATTAAAATGAAGAGAGAAAAAAAGTAGGTGTAGATTGATGAGACTGTTTGGCATTGGAGAGTGTGTTGATTAAGTTGTTTGACATTAGGGGCCATGTATGTTTTTTGAGTGAGAAAAAAAAATTTGGGATGAATTTTGTATCATTGGATCAAAATAGATGAAGATTGAATTAATCTTGACTATTGTTGTGCTTTTATAAGGTGAGAATTCAACTTTGTAGTTGTAGTATTAGATAGATATAAATATTATGAAAAACAAAATTTAGAGAACAAATTAAAATTTGAGAAATTGTAATCTGAGTATTGAAGAGGGTTAAAAGTCAAAGGTGAGTTGTTAATCTTATGGAATTTTGAGAATAGGAATAGTGTTTTGAGTTTAATTTAATTAAAAGAGGTGGATATTGAGGAAAGACTAGAAAGTTCAGAGACTGTTGAGTAAACAACTGTAACTGTTTAACATCTAAACAAAAAAAAAAAAATATAAGAGAATGGAAATGGAAGACTATCTGACTATGATCATCCGGTGAGAGAGGAGAGTAACAACTGGTATAACCATTTTTTTCAACTTTTCAATGGGTGAGACGACTGAATGAAGAGAGTTTTCTATAATGAACATAAATTTCTGTAACTTTTCTCATCCGTTGAAATTATCCAATATATTGACAATTTTATTGACAATTACATCTAGAATAAGTTTTTAGTATTTAAACAATAAATATGAATTGGGTCACTCAATATCTAAATGTGCCTTCCATACAAACCCAACAACCCAGATCGTGAGCTACAGTTCGGATCAGGATCTCGTGTTCTTATAAGATCAGGATCACGATCTATTAAGATCTTATGAATTAGAGATTTTGCAAGAGGTCAAATCGACTTACCTATAACGGATTGTACGATCGTTAGATCCTCTGCTTTGGGTTGAGATTTGATAACCATGATTTCAAGATATGGATTAATTACGCTAGTCGCCAGAACACGAGAACATGGTTATTTTTTCGTTTCTCCTTGTAAAATGTCAATAATACCCTATTAACCAAACAACATACTAAAATCTTCACATAACCGTCTCTCCCTTTTCCACACTCGCTACCAACCACCCATTCCCATTGATAAACTTTGTACTTGCTCTCTAGTCAAACCTTTTGTAAATAGATCTGCGATATTATCCTTTGACTTTACATAGTCAATGGACATAATACCACTCGAGATAATTGCCTAATAATATTGTGTCTACGGCATATGTGTTGAAACTTACCTTTATACATACAATTCTATGCCCATCCAATTATAAACTGACTATCACAATGTATACATATTGTTGACACAGGCTTTGGCCAATTTGAAGTATCCTCTAAAAAGTTACGAAGTCATTCTACTTTTTTTTTTTAGCTTATCTAAGGTATGAATTCATGTTCCATTTTAGATTTAGCTATACATGTTTGCTTGGAGGATTTCTAAGGCATAGGTGCATTATTCAAGGTAAAGACATATCCATTTGTGGATTTTGAATCTTTAGTATCGGATATCCAATTAGCATCAGTATATCCCTTGAGTACAACTAGGTATTTTGTGAAATGCAAACCATATGTTTGAGTATATTTTAAATATCCCAACACCCACGGATCAAAATATTATTTCGAAACATCTGAAACGTTTCCGTTTCTAAGGAGATCGAAACGAATCAGTGATGAAATTTGAATTTTAATATTTCCAAGTGTTCTATAATGTTTTGAAATGTTTTATTATATTTCAATGCATTTGCGTAATTATTTTGGAATGCTTCAAGGTATTTTAAGATATTTTGAAATATTTCGACCAATGTTTTAAAAAAATAATTCTTAAATTTTTATATTTTTTCATTCTGTTTCCGAAATATGTCGAAACGTTTTTATTTTCTAAGTGACCGAAACAATGCACCAAAACAAAAATTTGATCATGGCCAACACCCTAATTATTGCTTTCTAGTGGTCTTTTTCGGAATTACTTGTATATTAACTTAGCTTGCTCACATAGTATGCTATATCGGACGAGTACAATTCCTGATGTACATTAAACTATCAATTATACGTGCATATTCTAATTGAGATATGACTTCGTCATTATTCTTACAAAGATGGATATTAACATCGGCAATTGTTCTCATAGGTTTTATCTTATACTTCTTGAACTTATCAAGTACTTTGTTAATATAGTGAGATTGAGATAATGTGAGTCCATTTGACATTCTAGAAATTTTAATTTTTAATATAAAGTCAGCAACACCTAATTCTTTCATATCAAACCCTATTGATCAACATTCGTTTGGTAGCTTTAATAATATCATTAATGTTGCCTAAAATTAGCTTATCATTTACATAAAGACATACAACTATGAGTACTCTTGACATAAATACATTTGTCACACTCATTTATTTTAAACGTATTTGACAATGCCTTATTAAATTTCTCATGTCACTGTTTTGATACTTGTTTTAAATCATAAAGAGATTTAATAAGCTTGTATACTTTTTTTTTTGGTTTATTAGCAATGAACCCTTTAGGTTGTTCCATGTATTTCTTCATCTAATTCACCATTTAAGAATGATGTCTTTATATCCATTTAATGTATCTCAAGACCATTCAGTGCAGCTAATAACTGGTGAATAAGTGTCGAAATAATTCAATCCTTCCCTTTGTTTATATCTTTTAGCTGCAAGTCTAGCTTTGTCCTTGTCAATGGATCCATCGACTTTTATTTTCATTTTAAAGATTCATTTACAGCCTAAAGGTTTATTATCTGGTAGAAGATTCACCAATTCACATGTATGATTTTTCATAATGGATTCAATTTCAAAATTAAGAGTTTCCTTCTAATAAGGATCTTCTGGGGAGGACATAGATTCATTAAAACTTTGAGGATTACTCTGTATTAGATAAGTTAGAAAATCATGACCAAACGACATTGACGTCTTTGTCCTTTTGCTACGTCTTGGTTCATCTTCTATGAACTCATTGTCTGTATTTACTTGACCATTACTAGTCGTAGTATCAATTGGTCTCTTAAATGAGCTTGATAGAAATATCAGATTTATGAACAAGAAATCAATATGCATTATTGTTGTGGGCATAACTAATGAAAATACAATCAATGGTTTTAAGTCCTATCTTAACCTTTATAGCCTTAGGAATTGCCACTTTCGTTAGATACTCCCACACTTTTAAGTATTTATAGGAAGGTCTTCGATCTTTTCATAATTCATAAGGTGCCTTATTTGTTTCCTTACAAGACACTTTATTAAGAATATAATTAGCAGATAGTAAGACTTCCGCCCACAAGTTTTCGGGTGCACCTGAACTTGAAAGTATAGTATTCATCATTTCTTTTAATGTTCGGTTTTTACGTTCAGCTACGCCATATGATTGCGGTGAATAGGGGACAGTAGTTTGGTGAAAGATTCAATGTGTTGAACAAAACTCCACAAAAGAGATTCATATTCACCTCCCTTAATTTTTCTGTTAAGTTGATTCTCAACTTCATTTTTATAATGCTTAAACATTTCAATTGTCTCATCTTTACTTCTAATTAAGTAAACATAACAGTATCTTGTGCAATCATCAATTAAAGTAATAAAATACTTTTTACCACCTCTAGTTTGTACAAATTTTAAGTCACATACATCATTATAAATTAATTCTAGAGGTTCAGTACTTCTTTCACCTGATTTGAAAGATTTTCTTACCAACTTTGATTCTATACAAGTGTCACACTTATGATTTTGTATCAGNATTCACCAATTCACATGTATGATTTTTCATAATGGATTCAATTTCAAAATTAAGAGTTTCCTTCTAATAAGGATCTTCTGGGGAGGACATAGATTCATTAAAACTTTGAGGATTACTCTGTATTAGATAAGTTAGAAAATCATGACCAAACGACATTGACGTCTTTGTCCTTTTGCTACGTCTTGGTTCATCTTCTATG